ACTTCGTAACCCATAAAACTTACCATCCGTTAGCTACAATGTGTACAACGAGAAAAGGTGAATTAATAGTCTGTTCACGTCGCAATCACTCTGAACTCCAGAAAATACACAGCAAGTTTACCGCCAGTTCATCGGGTGGCAGGAATGGCAAAACGATTGGTGAAAAAATCTCGAGAACTTACCGAGCTATCTGCATTGTAGACCAATGAGGTTATTATGAGCACCGTCCAGAGACAAAGGAACATTCCTCGAATGCGGTACAATCTGTGGTGATCTGAGTTCAAGTAAATTTATTTCATTCATCGTCCGGCAATCGGAAGCCTATTGGATTCAGCAAACCAAGCCTCTTAGTAGCCAATGAAAATCCGTCTATCGAAGGTCAGCGTCCACGGTCTGTCATTGGGTCACTTTGGATTGATCAACTGGGTTGATGACCAATCGAAAACGACACTTCCCGGGTGATGGTGAGCCAGCCGGGAGCCACTCATAAGGGGGCAATACGGAAGTAGACCACAGGTCACCAGTCTATCAAGCTATGAGAATCCAATAGCAATAATCAATAAAATTTTTAGGATGTGCAATGTAGGGGACGAAAAACTGGACTGGCCAAGGTGGCGGCACTGTTAGACACCAAAAAGCGCTTGGCCTTCTAAATGAAGCAAGAATCGCATGCCGTTTAGCAGCCACGCACTTCTGTCCTTCCATGGCTGGTGAGGTTAGGCAGCGCGGTCAAAAACCCCTCATATAAATATCAGCCGCCCTAATGTTTTTTCGGACCAGCCCGAACAATGGTCTACCAAAACCATTGAGTTTGTGGTTGTCTGAGGATTTGGGATTTGAGACTTTATCCGGTCAACGAAGCTAATCTGTGCTGAAAAGCCAAGAAGGATTGTACAGTTGCATCATCTTTGTTTCGAGTCATCAGCAGTGGGCGTCTCAAGGGAGTCTCGAGACTCAAGGGAGTCTCGAACTCGCAACCTTCCCGCTGTTGGTAGTTTGAACAGTTAACCGTTCGGTCACCGGAGTCTGAGCACCAGTGTGATTAACTGGCAGTTAGACAGACTTCAGTGTCGCTCGTTTTTCAGTCATGGAAGTTACATTGTATAGTCACATATTGAGTGGCAACGTAGAAGAGGAAGACCCCACCCGTTTTGTGAAATTATTCTACCTTTGAGCTACTACCAATAGACCGATGGTTGTGTGAGGAGATCTGGTAATTTTCAACAGAGATTTCGTCATTTCGAAATGAGTACCGGAGGGTTGTCATAAACGCACAAACTAACCTTTCTGTCGTGCACGAAGTTAAATGCGACTGTGCTTTTCTGCACAAGCATAGATCGCAGACTCGTGGGCTTTCGGTGAGCCAAAATGATTGTGGATTCGGCCCTTCCAGAGAGCGCTTCGCTTCAAAAGTGTCTCAATAGCCATATATCAAACCATACCCCAGATAAGCTTACGAAGGTAACATGTCAGCTCTTGATGGTGTTCTAAGGGCGTCATAAAACTGACCGCTGTCGCGATTGAGGGATGGCTTCCAAACACTACACCATTCTGAGCCAACAAGATTCCTCGCCAGCTGAAAGATTGCTCTATGGCAAACATAGGTCATAAACATATCTCGACGTTCCGCAAGACGGTTCAAAATGGAATCCCGCTATGCCACTTAGAATCGCCTTCCCGATTTCTAATCCTTGTAAAAATATGAACACATAATTCGTTTGTGGAAAAAGACCATCTGTGTCCGTTCCTTAACTTCGGCATTCCGTTAGCCTCAGACTCTCGCAGTACTGGTTCTGGGTGGCCCATATGTGCAGGTCGCAGGTTGATATCGGTACAAGATGAGGGGGAATAATTTCATCTCATTCTTTCATGTAACGTGTGATAGTTTTTGAAAGGCTTGAGCTGTTTGTCATCTTTTCCCTCGTATAAACTATCAGTTTAGATCATCCAATGAAGCGTTCCCTCATGTGTGAATACTACCACGGTGGGAACACGCGGAAAAAATATTCTACTTTAACTATCATGCATAGAATAACCGTATGAGAAAGCATCAAGAAATAAAACTGGTATTTCAGTAGCAATCCTTTTCAAAATTTCCGGAAAAACACCCTACTTCTTCGCAAAATTACTTTTTCCTGTTGAACCTCCGTCTGGTAACTGACGTGCGTTTCTTAGCCGCCATGACTATTTTTAGTCACGTGCACTGCGCGCAGAACACAAAAAACCGGCTACTAGTAGGGTTGTTTCCAGTTAACTGCAGAGCATTCTCTAACCCCAGTAACTTGGAGTGAAACGTGTTCAAACGACCCTCTGTTTTGCGGTTTTTCGGGGCCTGGTTGGTTCCGGTTATCGATCAAAGTTGCTACAGACGGCTGAATGTGTCAACCGACTATCTTGACTACTACTCTGGAATGCCTCATCACGTACTCTCTCCTCAGCTCACGAATCGACCGTTTGTGCTCATTGAAACACTTCTCACCTAGTATAAATATTACAGTGGGTTTGTGTGGTTCCACTTACCTATCCTAACCACCCATACCCCATGATGCAATCAGCTGTTCAGCTCACAACGTGAGCCACCGCTGTGGGAATTTGAGCCAAAGTCTGAACAGGCGGTATGCCGACCCTCTTTTTGGATGACTGCCTCATGAATGAAGGACATGCTCCGCTCCAGTGACTTTCATCAGTAGTATGCACTTGGCGTCCTTCCTTATAAGTATTTTGTTTTCACGGGTGGTGAACGCGCGATTGTATTTGTTTCGTAAGATCCAGTTGCCAGCACACCTTTGTATTTTTTCGTTACTTGAAAGAATCGACGAGAAGGCTGCAATCACCAGAACAGGTTGCGTGGACTCAGTCCTAGTTCAGTCTGTAAGCGGCAGCGAGTTGGTTTTTGATTGAAGTCATGTTTGGAAAGCAGAACTAGGGTAGTAAAAGCGGCATGTTTTGATCGGAGCATCGAGATGATAGGGAGAACTTCTCCTCTGTTGCACCTGTTTCAGGGAAACACTATTAAATATTAAACTATCTTTTGAAAGGGCAAATCAGGATAACTTATTTCGCAGTCCAGGGCAAGGAGACAGATAACTGAGGAGCTGAACCAATTTCAAGACGGATATACCTCAGCGTATCCGGCTAGAGGACAGATGTCTGAATGACATGTGTATTGCTTGAATCCCATATCTCTGTCTTCGCTTGAGCAATCTGACGCTATTCTAGCCCGAACTACGTACTACCCACTTATTCACCGAAAGAATGATAAAATTTAATTACTTGAATAGCGTGCTCCTGAAAGACCCTAGTAAATACACTCGCACACACAAACGGAACATGAAAGGCATTTGGAGAAAGAAGTCATACAGGCCCGTGTGTTTCGTGTACTTGATTCTATCTGGATGAGCCATGTAGGTTGACTGGATAGAACACACTCTCTCAAAAAAGTAACTTGCTCGCAAAATCGCCTCAACGAGTCTCTGTTGTAATAGGTTTGAAATCTTTGGGACTTCTTCTTCTTGGTTTTCCTTATCCAGACCACTTGATAGCTAGTATATATACTCAGCTTGTTTGGCCATAAGTCATCGACAGTTGCGGAGTCCAAGCGCTCTGGATTTTGGATGGTCTTTTGAAGAATTTTCCAGTCACTAGAATGCACAACATCCCATCTCATCGCTCCGAAGAGTATGCTGTTCTAAGTATTTTGTTCGTTCGTGTACTTCGCTTCGCATACGCGGAAGAACTATCCCAGCGTCCGCGTACTACCGTTGAGAGTTTCGCCACCGTTGCTTCCCCCTGTCGACGCGAAAACAGTTCAGAACAGGTAGATATTCGAGCCTGATGCAATAGCCGGCTGATTAGACATTTCTTCATCAGAAACCTAATTGTTCATGGGACCTCAACATCTTGAAATGTATTAGGAGCGATTCACTAGAAAATTGCTAGTAACCTTATGTTCAGATTTTGTGTTTCTTTGCAGTTTATCGATTCCTGAGCTGCTTGCATTGATAGAAACTAATCTGTTATCATCACAACTTTGCAAATACGGGAATGAAAGCAACAGATCTAGGGTCTACCGACTGAACCTCCAAGTTCACGTAACGATACCTTCATACTTCCATTGATTTCAGTCAAACTTTAGACGCGAGTTGCTTTGTGTTGAAACTTACCCAACCCATACCTTGGCAGGAAATACCGAACCAATTGGGCGGATGAAAGAACAATGGAAAACAGATGGAACATAACGGGATTCATAAAATAAAGTATGTTCTTTTTTGGCTACCGGATTGGTTGTCACTTGCGGATATAATCTCTGGCTAGGTACGGTTCACGTTTTGGATGACTACCGGAACTACATAGAAACAATCATCTAGGCTTTGTCCTTCCAGCTTCTCCATAAGGCCAATCGATAGACTTCAGATAGACTTCAGCGTTCACGTGTCCCAGAAGTAGTCGAATGGTGCGAACAACGAGTGTGGCTGTCACTTACATGGTCACGCCTTGTTCTCTACGAATATCGAAAGCTGCAAAACCTTCTTGAAAGAACACCCGAACTTACACACATGGAAGCAGCTATTTATCTTGAGGCGCAACAAGTTAATCCAGCATTGTTTCTGAATTCACGTCCTCCCGGAAAAACATTCAGCGATCTGAGCATACTGTCAGCATAGAACTTTTCTGACGGGAGGTCTTCCGAATCAGTTGATGATTTTGATAACACTTGGGGTCATTCTTTTGAGTACCGAGACCATGGGTTAGGCGAATAGTGGCCTTACAGGAGAAGATCGTATAGGAATTTGGGGTGCGCTTTAGCGCTGATTGTGGACGTAAGTACTGGCAGAATGACAAACGCAACGGGAGGTTTTCCGCGTTGGCTAGGACCTACTTGAACCTATCCGGACGTGTGAGAGTGTACGGAGAGCTCTCCAAAAGCTTCCGTACACAAAGCGGTGTCCGTCAGGGATGCGCACACTCCATTCCCTCTTAACTTCGTGATCGATGAAATAATGAGACGAACGCTGGATTGTCTCCAAAACCCTGGTGTTTAAATAGCCTATGAAGAAAACCATCTCGATCTGGAATATGCAGACGACATCGTTCTCATGTTCGAAGAGGAGGAGAAGGCGCAGGTGTTTTTGGATGCACTGACCAAGGTCATCTCGTCCTTTGGTATACACTTTGCACCCACAAAGTGTAAGGTCATGCCTGTGGACGTGCAGTCACTGAACACGCCACTTACAATCCAGGGAGAGGTACTGGAAGTTGTGGAGCGTTTGACGTATCTTGGAAGTTGTATTAGTTCTGACTGTAGTGTGACAGATGAGGTGAATGCACGGATTTGCAAGGCTCGGGCCGCCTCTGATAACTTGAGACACCTATGGCGTCAGAATGGTTTATCCCTGAATCTGAAGGGACGTGTGTATCAAGCTACAGTACGGGCTGTTTTGTTGTATGGCTGTGAGACTTGGCCTATTCGAGCAGCGGACCTGAGACGTCTTCAGGTGTTCGACAATCGT